CAATCACTGCCGCCTACTTAGACAGGCATGCTGAGAGCTGAACTATTTTTACGCAAAACTTTGAAATACATCGGTCAGCTATACCCGTCGGCTCCCTGACACACGCACCTAATTTTTCACCGCAATTTCATAAACTTCACTGGTACTATGAACTCCATGTCCGGCATACACACGAATGCACTCAAAATCAGTTACAAACCTTGTTAAAGGGTAAGTGGTTGGTCAACCTCAATCCATTGATCTGATGCACACGCCAGTTTCAAGTTCTTGTTTTATACTGCACAGGACGTTGGGCCCTGATCGGTTTATAGATCCCCCATACCACGCATGACTGATGAAGTAGTCATCCACAGGCTATGGAGAAACCTGGTGAGAGTCAAGACGATCTTTTTCAAGCACGTCATGACCTTCACTATTATCCCCATCACCATTTCAATCACCCTTTCGCCAGGCTTGCTATTAGTTACTTCGTGGCGGCGACCACAAATAAGCAGTGCGTGAATCACCAGCACCACACAACCATATGTTGCTACCCGTCAGTTCAAATGGTCTTTCTTATCGTGAGCTTTCCAGCAGTTTCCAAGATCTCACGGGACTTCCATAGACTAATTTTTGTGTTACAAACTGGTGACTGATTCCATCCCTGTGAGAGATACAGCGGTCCGTGGGCGATCAGCACGTATTTCCATCGAAGAAACACGTATGGCGTACTCACAATTCGACTGAATGCTGTAAACCACATTGTGCATATTGCTTACAAGATGATCTCTACAAGTAGCGCTCGTNGTGTAGGGACTGCGGAGAAATCAGCGATCAAGTAGAGCCGATTCACATCCTGCTTGAATCGCTGTCTCAGGCGGTCATCAGCGAAGCTATGATGGTGTGTGAAGGTCACCAGACACCGGGGATAACTTAGCATCTAACGTTTTTCTGTTGGAGATCTCGTTGCAGAATTGAACACTTATTTTTTTTGTTTTTATTGAAGCATATTTGATGATGCCAAAGAACATGTTTTTAGAGTTTGAGACAACGGTTAGCGAATACTAGAGAAGTCTCCGCCACGTCACCCTGAGGTTACCACTAACAACTGCGCAAAAGTACAAACTGTATTGTAGTTTAACAGCCAGAAGTCTACGACGACGTCGCCGTGTATCGCACATCAGTGACCGCAATATAAGCCTTGAGGATTTCAGCACCGACCAGACCTTTCACATTAGAGTCGAGTCGAATACAACTTCTAGCTTACCTAAAGTGCCCCGGAACAGCAGGTGTCTCCTTGTTTTTCAAGTAGTATTATCAGTTCTTTGTGTTAGGAAGCACGATTACACATTTCATAAGAGCAAAGGATGGACCCATCGTGATCGGATTACCCCAAAAACATCCGCGTCATTTTTTGTTCAAAAGCAAAAACGGTGTCGTATGCACACCCGCGGTCAAAGATATTTTCCCACGCAAGCATTTAAACGTGGTGCTTTTGACAGGTCTAAGTGTCTTTTCTAAGATTTCGAAGAATAAAAACGCAACGGAAGTCAAAACAAGAGAGAGCACTTTTGTCGTAAACATCTGGCCATCTTCTTGCCTGTCTGCAACTCCAGGAAAGTAGTCTGTAGCGATCGTCCATAACGCCCAACGACCATAAGCAAAAAGCACATTTCTTCACCTCTAAGAGTGACAAACAGCCGCCTTAGAAAATATGGTCACAATATTCGCGTCTATACAGGAGCGATAACTGACGAATCTGCGATTTTGAGGATGTAGTCCGAGAAGTCATGTTGCATAGCAATGCCAGCAGTAACTGGCGGCAGACTGGCTTGAAGTCGGTAACAACACTGCGCTGCAGTGAATGAGGTCCGGCTGCACCTGCCACCTTTGTCACTGCATGAAGGCCTCTATCGAACTGAGAGTACGGTGTAGCGATAGGTGTTTGGCATCATCACGTCAAGCAATGCCCAGTAACATTAAATCTACTGTCTGACGCTTCACGCAACCTATTAGATCTTGTTGTCAGTTACTCTGTTTATCGCGAGATGGCTCAGTAGTCAGAGTGCCAATATACTAACCGAAAGGTTCGTGATTCGAACCCGATCTCTGCAGCTCAATTTCTCCTGTCTAGGCTTGGGCAACCTGGCAGTATCCCAGCCCTGGTTACTTCTTCGGATAGCATGGCATATAGACACCAGAAGGGCGTTACAGGTGAACTATCTTTGGTATGCATTGAGCTCTCGTCATAAGCCGGGCTTTGTTGTTTCTTCGATAGGGTTGGGTGCCTGAAACGCTTTTGTTACGGGGTTTGAGGTAGCGTCCAGAGCGTAGACCCTGACTATGCACTTGTACGCTGCTGCTTTTCAATGCGCGTTTCAGGTGTACGTAAAATGCGCACACCTCGCTTAGCCGTTGAGAAGCTAGCAAACCCAGAAGTCAAACGAAATTATCAGAGACAACTCCTCGAACGCCGGCCGGATGGTACGATGTCTAGCCTGTTTAGGTCCATCTGGGAGGGACACCTTTCCAGACAACTGCGGTGAATCGATAATAGTGCCCATCTTCAGAACGGGTACTCGCAGTGAATGCATTAACCAAAGAGATGTTGGTTTGACGCCTGTTGTGACAAGGCTTGTGGTGTCGCTGATTCTTCAACGCCTTACGGTGGCACGCGAACCCTTGACTAGTGGGAATCAAGAGGGATTTCGACCGGGAAGGGACTGCGTTGACCACATCTTCACACTCCCTCAGTGTTAGAGCAACGTTACATGTGCAGATGAGCCACAATCCTGATGTTCTTTGACTTCAAGGGTGCGTTAGATTCTGTCGATCGGTCAGTGCTGATAACTACACTTGCTCAATAGGGTACGCTAGAGAAGTTTGTGAAAAAAGTCCCGTCCCTAACTTCGCATACTTCTGAACGAGTGACACTGTATGGTGAGCTCTTCAAAAGCTTCCCTACAAAAAGTGGTGTCCGACAAGAACGTCCACTCTCTCCATTCCTGTTCAACTTCATCAATGATAAAATAATGAGGCGAACGTTCAAAGGGTCTGCAAGCCCAGGTGTTCAAATTGTTGCCGGCGAGAGCCGTGTCGACATGGAGTACGCAGATGACATTGCCCGCATCTTTAAAGACCAAAGCGAAGCACAAGCCCTATTGAATAGACTGACCAGCATCATACCAACTTTTAGCATGCTTCTTGGACCTCAGAAAGCAAAATCATGCTTCAAAACGTGCAGCCTGAAACGATATCACTAACAATTCAGGGAGAATCGCTGGATGTTGTGGATAGCTTTACATACCTCAGTAGTTCTATAAGCTCTGATGGAAGTGTTTGATGAAGTAAGTGCGGGAATCTCAAAGAATCGAATCACTTTTGCTAGTTTGCGTCACTTTTGGCATCAAAATAGCATCTCAATAGATCTTAAAGGTCGTGGGTACCAGGCTACAGTAAAAGCTGTGCTGTGTTATGAGTACGATACGTGGCCTCTACGGACAGATGTGAGGCATCTTCAGGGTTTTGTCGACTGATGCCTCAGAGGCGTGGCTGGTTTTAGATAGCGTCAGCGTGTTACTGATAAGGTGATTAGAAAACGGGCATTTGGTTGTGCGGCAGGTAGTTCAATCGAGGAAGTCGTCCAGCATCACCGACCACGATGGTGCTATCATGTGCCACGCATACCTCCCTCGTGCATTGTCTTCTCTTTTATACTCACATCAAGGCTTTAAATATAATTAAATAAACTTTGTGGTTGTACGGCAATGATTTTGCTGTGCTCTACGATGATGATGGCGCGATGAGGATGTCGTTAATCTCCTAGTTTCAGACCTCTAAAAGATGCAACTGAGATAACCTAAATACCTGGAGCGCGATAACTCAGTGATTAGAGCGCAGATTTACTGACCAAAAATCCGCGGTTCAATCCGACCTCGACTTCCTCTGTCTAGGCTTGGACAACCTGGCAGTGTCCCAGCCCTCGTACACTCTGACACTTATGGCAGTGGTGTGACTTCGGTTTCTGCCAAGTGCATAATATACATTGCAGCAGTGCCATCCATACTGCTCAATGGATCAGAAACATGACCTCTACGAGTATACGGTGACTGAAGGCTGACAGCATATGGCCACTGGAGAAACGACCGAATCTGGTGGGAACATCGGATTAACGATGCTGTGGTACGCCAGACAGTTTAAGATAACTATTCCGCAATGAACGAACTACTCAAGCTTCGCAGTTCACGCTGGTTAAGACATGTACTTTGAATGTTTTAAAGGGCTTGTTTTTGTTCCACGCTGTGCTGAGTGGAACCGGCTATTATGTGGACAGTGTACCACCCACCAACAAAGTATAAAAACGATAGCCAGTAACTCAATCGGCAGCCACCTCCTTGGATTTACCCCATCAAAGATTAATGACACTTGTATCCATGGCTACAACAAGGAGACATTAGCGTTTGTGCACCGAAGCTCTCAAACTCAATGAGTAGCTATCCCCGGTTTCCCTTTCCATCACAAGAAAGTAAAATACGAATTAAGTGACCATTTCATCGCCTTCAATGCTTGGCCACATATCTTATGCTTCCCCATTTCCGGTGGCAGCAGCTATAATTAATGCAGTCTAGGTACAGGGTTTATTGCTGGAAAACTGAGCCGAAGATAATGGGCTCGTCCATTATGTCTTACACTGTTGGATGGACTGCTTACAATGGGCCTCAACTAGTTGACACTGACGGGTAGGTTGTTCGCTCGACCGCTGTTGTCCAGTACCCAGGCCAATTTCCGTCTCCTGTCTGTTCTGTGGGTTTTCCATTAACTCACAGAATATTATCATCATCATCATCGACAGCATGATATCAGTATTCAACACCGATGCCTCACTGCCGTACTCAACTCACAGGACTTAGGGTCTCAAGCGAACATTAAGCATGGTGAGTTGAGGTAGCTTGGCGGCGATAAGGGAAAGAAAATTACCAGGATAGTGCATCGGATTTGACTAGGTTTAGATGAAAACTCACATTTGTACGGCATCCAGTCCGAGCGCACTTGCCTTCTGCAATCGGTCCAACCAATAAATCCTTGGGATTCGGAAGTAATGGATACTGCCAGAAATGAACTGAAATTCTTCATTGTCCTTTAAAAAAACATCGTTCAGGGTGTCTATCTCGAAGGTCCTATTTATCAGATTCGTGGAATAAAGCTGAAAATAGCTAGAACATGAGTGGAATTGACAAACCTTTCGGGCACGGGTTTTAAAGTAAGCAGTGACTGTGGATGATACGACTATTACTCCGACGGCTAAAATTTAACACGTATGATGCTACACCCACTGCATATGAATGCTCCAACAAATACTCTATTTGCAGATAGTTTATCGTGAACTTTATGGAATATATTTCTTGAAGATTTCTGTTCGAGCTCTGGAGCTATATCTGGCATCTCAGCGACATTGGGTTACGTTGATAAAAATGTATATGAATGTCCGTTTGTATCTGTATGTCCCCGTACAAGTTAACACATTAGGTCAACCACGAGGTAACCAAGCGACCTTGTTATGAGCGCACTTTCGATGCTGCATGACCTTCACGTTCCTTCAGTTCAACTACTCGACACTCGACGTTTTATTTTTAACTGCAGGTCGAGCGAGTTATGCTGCTGAGTTTTCCTGCATGGGCTTCCAACTGAGGTCCTCATGATCATTGGGCTTTACTTGATGCAGCCTCATTCGGAACATGATGGGTAGTCTCCTGTCGAAAGCCTCCTTTTGTGCCCGAATGGCTTCGTATAACTGGCTCGGAAACCATGCACGGATCGGAAGCTGGATGCCCGTGGATTCCTATATAAGAATTTTTGACATCAGTAGAAGTTTCGTGGTTAACTTTACAGAACCGAGGGAGCAGTAGGCCTCACCATTGATTACGTATCTCGACTTGAGTACTCACAAGAGAGTTGAGGTACTTTCCTGGGAAGTTGAGTGGATTGGGCCAACATGTGTTCGTCCAGTGGGTAGAGAGACGGATAACATAGATTCACCACAGAATTGTCATTGATTAAACTAGGAGGGTGAAGCAGTTTCTATGCTCAGAATAAACGGTGCGTAAATTGACAGGATATCTGGAAGGTTAGGGCCTCTAAACAGTAGAGAAGGACCATGGAGGCTTCAATGCGTGCTGATTGAGCATATGGATGTGCGTGGGCAGGCGTCAAAATAGGTGGATTATAAGATTGTCGTACATGTAAAACACTAGCACGATTAGCAGTGAATGCTTTGCTGCATGGGAGTTGAAAATGTTCTGGCTAAGTAAATGTAGATTCTGGTGGGATTTGTAAAAATCAGGAGAGTAAGTTTTATTTTGGACAGAGGATGGAATATAATATCACAGAGACTGTTTCTAGGAGAAGCATTCCATAACTCGTTCGTGGTCAGGAGCCTCATTAGCGTAGACCATCAGGTTCAGAAGCCCCATTCGTGCAACCGATCACAGCTGAAAGGAAGTGTGTGCGTTCAAAGAATGAGCTATCCATTGAACGCTTAACTTACAAACAAGAATGATGGAATTTTGAGTTGGGGTTACAAATGGCACACTATGTGGTGGTCCCACAATCTGATAAGTATATCCGCGTCCAGTGTTGCCTTCGTCTTTTGCTCTGTTTCACGTACCACAACGTGCCTCACGAAACATCGTGGCCTGAATGACATGACCTTTGGTTAACAACATGTCCCTTGGTCTCTTTGGGGGCACAAAGAGACTTCACATCGTAGTTTTTCACGGTTCAGTCAACATATGTAAGGGCAGAACACGGCCAAAAAAGCAGCACAGTCGACATACAGACTCGCGCGCATGAAGCAAGGAGTCACGTGTTCACGGGCAAGTAAGGAACACGTGTAGCAGTTATACTGCGGAGAAAAAACGTTCCCGCCGTCCGGACTTTTACCAAGGAACTCTAAAAGCAATAAGTTTTTCTTTTGACTCGCTCCACATTTCGCATTGCATTTGTGTTTATACTTGTTGCCACTCACCACTGTCAACCATATTAAAAACTTTTATTAATGCATAAAGATTCCGGATTAAGTGTTTCGATTTGAATCAATTAAAAATGTTTGGGACCGATTGGAAAGTCATCGTTTCAGAGGGGTTTGGTAAACAGTCAGTGGATTTATTCCTGGGCAACGTTTCGCTTTTGACACAAAAGCTTCGTCAGGCCAAGTGAGTAAGTCGGTAGGTTGATTGGGTTTTAAGGCAGACAGAGAACCAGTCCGTGAGTTTCCTTATGACTAGTGACTTGATCAGTGCTGGGTATTCAGTCTGATGTTTCTGTTTGTTGATTAGTGGGGATGACCAAGAGTTACGACAGATTGGTTAGGAGGAATTCGGCTTTATGATGAACCGGGATTTTTCGTCCTTGCTTTTTCAGCCTAGAACACCCTAATGGAAAATTCCTCTCGGGGTCGTTCACAGATTTCGTCTGTGTTCGTCCACGAGTGCTGGGACAATTGGTTTGGGGATGGGGGTGGTGTGGTTGATTGGAGCTAACCTTAGTTGGAGTTTGCACTTTTAGACCCAGGCCATTTCTCTGGTAACCGCACAACGCCTCATGTCATCTAAGATCGCCCTCCACACGCTTGCAAGTTCAACCCCCTCTATTCTATTCACACTGAGATGCTTGGCGATTTCCACCGCCTCGGCCACCAGTGGCTCTGGTGTGAATCTTAAACCCAGTCTCAAGATGTCCACATTTTCTGAATCTGTATTATGTCCAGTGTTTAGCGCATGCCCTGCCATTGCTGAATCTCTGACTAACTCCTGGTATTCATACTCGATTCTCGGTGATCTGTTAATGGGACGCTTATGCTCACCAATTCTGGTGTGCAATTCCCTGGCTGTCTGACCTATGTAAACCTTCGTACAGTCGTTACATTTTATTTTGCATACACAGGTCCTAGCAACAACCACCGAAGTGCGATCCTTCAAATGCACCAACGCCGAGCGTGAAGTCTCCCCCTTCTGGAATGCTACTCTAATGTTAACCGTATTCAGTACCCTTCTAATGACTTCAGATGTCCCTGTTTTCTATGGAATGACCGCTGTTCCGATCCATTCCTTGTTGGGCCTTGATGTTGGCAATGATACCCGTCTTAGCTGCCGCTCGGGTGCTTTACTTACATTATAACACTACGTATCTCATCAATTGTATAATCGTTTTTTGTTTGAATACGAAGAACCAGAAAACGCGCACTTGTGCAATTTCACATACTACAAGCGTGGTCACCTGCTTTGACTCTCTCTTCTGATTTCGCTCACGCTTGCAGCGGTCATTCGCGAGTCTCAAGTACTAACTCTGGTACCAAAACATTTCAGACCATCTTCGGAATCTATTATATGTGGGAACCGTTCAGAAGAAGACCTATGGACCAACATAATTGGGTTATTGTTTATTTGCTGACCTGGGCCAACGACGAACTACTTTAAAGCAAGCAATTGTCAGTGAGTCTGTTCCGTCTGCCTTCTTTATTATTTTATACCCAACCTAGCGTTATTATTTTTATTTCTTTGCCACACACTCCTGGTAAACTAACTTATTGGGTAGCCAGACCAATACACCGCCTAGTTTAACCCACTGGGCATCCGCTATCTTGAAGTCGCTTTTTTACCTCAAGTTGAGCTGCTCTTCGGTCCACCTCCTCTGTACACACTGCTCTCGATCTTCTAAAAATCGCTGCAGCTACGCTAGTGTATACTGCTTTTGGACGTGCAGAGAAGCAGTTTAAGACCGCGCCGCCATCTGTTGATTTCCGATATACAGTTGTTTTTAATTTCCCGTCAATTTCGTGTGTCATTCAGTCAAGGAAAGGTAGTGTAACCAATGTGGACTCTAGCTCCATGAGGGACCAAAGTGTTCATATATTGAAAGAATTTGTTTACCTTATCCCGCTTTGTCACAACGAACGTGTCATTTACGCAAGGCCAGAACACCATTGGTGGACACCCTAATCCGCTTAAAGCTTTCTGCTCAAAGTCTTTCATGTACATGTTGGCCAAAATCGGGGATATTGGTGAGCCCATCGCTAAGCCTTGTTCTTGAGAGTACATAATTGAGACGAAATCAAAATGACTGAGGTTGGAGCATACCCTCATGTCTTCAAACATGTCGTCTACGGAGAGTTGCGTTCGCTCTTGCAGCTTTGTCTGCCAGTAAAAATTCTTCTTGCTACTTCCACATCATCCGCTTTAGGAACATTGGTATACATCTAGTTGACATCAAAGCCAACCAGGACTTCATTTGGCTCTATCTGAAACCCAGCTATTTTTTAGCAAAGTTATATGAATCTTGAATGTGTGTGGGTGACTTGCCGGCAAATGGTTTAAGGATACCTGCCAGAAATATGGCCAGCTCATGTGGTGGCGAACCTATGCCATCCACTATTGGTCTTCCTTGTGAATTTTCCGGTAACGCGTAAAGTCGTGGTTGGATTTTACTTTTTGGTTACAATCGATACCATTTGCCTTGCCCCAGGTGGTTTATCGCAACTCTTAGATACCTTCCAACTTCAACTTTACTGTTGTTCATAATTGACGTGATCGTCCTGTTACTAATGTTTCGGCAAGGACCATCAGCTATGTGTTGTCCAACTCTCTGAAGATAGTCACCCTTATTCATGACGACCGTGGCCTTAATTTTATCTGCCTTTTTAATTAATATGCTGTCTACACTTTTCAACGTGTTTAAGGCTCTTCGCTCAGCTGGTGCAATGTATGTAGGACCGTAGTCAACTGTACACGTAACTTTTCCGCATCCGTTGCAGGAAGCTTCTGGAATACAGACTCAATACTAGGAATAATCCCCTCTGCCCTTATAACACCATTACGTACTGCAAACTTCAATCCTTACTCGAACAGACAACGTTCCTCTTCACTGAAGGGTCTATCTGATAAATTGGCTACGCTACAGTAGCTAGTGGATGACTTACTCTTTTCTGCTGTGTTACTAGAACAGCGAGTGATAGAAAGCAATTTCTCGAGTTTATGTATTAGTCTGTCCTTGCACTGTCTACTTTCAGCTGAATTTGCTTCCTTCGCTTTGGTATCTAGTAATTCGAATTCAGCAGACGAGTGCGGACTGAAGACCATGGGTGAGACGACATGCGCGTTGGCGGATATCAGTTAAACGTTGGGTGGTTAAATGGATCCTCTTTTTGAGGAATGATTTGGGTAAGTAGATAAGCGCTCACTAGAAGCATACTCAATGTAATTTCACTGAAACTATACGATAACAACGAATACAGTTATGAGTATGAAAAGCCGTCGTTGGCCATTGGATTGCTTGCCGGGTATAGGTGAAGCCCATAATCAGCGTCACATATACTGGCTTAGCAGTTACGATATGTCTTCGCGGTAATTCGTAACAGCTATCTCCGTTACCGCGCATTTTACCAAACAGTACATTGGCGCTGAAAGGCCATTCATCACTGCGTTCCTTGAAGAAACGTTCTGCCACTACAGACAATACAGCTTTTTGCCGCAGGATGGCCCAGCGCAAGTATCAGTCCTGCT